ATCATTAATTCATGATAAAAAGATGTTAAGAATATGATAGTAAATATGTATCGAGAGACTTTCCTTCTGTGTGTTGTTCTAGTAAAATAATCCATTTACATGCTAAAAAAGAGGAGTAACTCTAATGAATATTATAGGACTTTATACTTTTTATATAGGAATTATTTATTTCAAATCTTTTATTTTTCCATTTCCATTCATTATTTATTTCTGTACAGTTTTATTCACTACTCCTCACATAATAATATGATGTACTATTTTAAAGGAAACTAATATTTTTAGAAAATGGTTTTAATAATGCATTTCATTAACAGTTATTTTCCCTCTGATATATTACTCAGATCTGGTAACTAAATACATAAACAAGTTTACTTATTTAAGGTAAATTAGAAAATAAGAACTACAATATCATATTTTAATGAATTTTACACACACAATTATAACCAATTATGTAGAATATGTTTGGAAGCCAAGTACATTCTGTCAGAAGAATAATATTTTAGAAGCTGGAAATTAGCTGTGATCAAGCTGAGAAGAGTAGTTCTGGCGGATAATCACCCCGCTCCTCTGTCCTGGGTGAGAAAGAAGTGAGAGGTTGGAGGAGCAGAAAAGAGTATAGTATGTCTAAAGCAATGTCTAAAAGAGTGAATTGAAATGGTTTTAAAGAGATGTGGTAGGACTTTTTAGCGAAGTTCGAATTCATACTAAAGGAAATAAACACTGAATGTTTTGAGAAAGCTGAGGAGAGATATGATACAACTTGAGTTTTAAACACTGAAGCTGACTACTTTGTGAGTAATGGGATGTACAAAAAGGAAACTGAAAGCTCTAATCAAGTGTTAACTTTTCTAAATATCTGAAAAAGACAAAGAGGGGAGAAAGGAAGCTGATGACTTAGAGGAAAAAGTTGTACTGCTAGCCCAGAGGCATGTGACTTGAATTCCACAACCCCTTTACAGGAGTAGAATAGTCATCCCATTTGATTAACTGCCTTTGAAAACCCTCTAGAGGGTGTGGTTTAAGTAAATTCCTGACTCATTGGTACATAACAACAACATAGAGGAAAAGACGTTATTTAGTTGGTCTTCACTGTGTGGTGATCAGATCATGGAAAAAGATTCATGTAATTGATCACCTATTCTCACAAACACATGGGCATTGAAATAGTTGTTGTTATGTACCATCCACTCAGAACCAAATCATAGCTGACCCTCTACTGGGTGTCTGGAGGCTATAAAACACACAGGAGGAGATTGACTATCTATCTTTGTCCACTTGAACAAATAAATTAATT